ATTTCTAAACTTCAACCTGCTAGTTTGTACTAATTAATTTTCTCAAGCTCTTTAAATTACTTCATATATACTTATTCTTTTTATAGATGTAACTAATCCTTCATTATCTAATCTTTGGAAAATACTTTATTGCATTCTAAAATTGTTGATATACTCTCCAACTAAAAATTCACTCTTATAAAATTTACCACAATTCAAATAAAATACACCATTTTAAAATGATCACCATTCTTACAATATTCTTAACTATTTCAATGTTTAAGATTGTTTGTAACATGACCAAAATACCAACTATTATTATTTCAGTCAATACATATCTCAATTAATATTAATGCAAATTCAAGAACATCTACAATTTTCCCAATATCCTAAATAATAATCGCAATAGCTTCCTTCATACTATCCTATTCCATCCTATTACAAATAATAATTATAAATAACTACTTTCTTTCCATAATCCCATGAACCAATGTTTTTTGACCAGAATACTCCTTCTCTATGTGGCAACCTTTAAGTTTTGACCATAATAAAATTGATTTGTTTTCAGTAATTCAAACCCTATTCCAACCTTGAATAGTTGTTAACAATAACAGAAATACTATCTAAGTAAAACTTACTGAGAATTGTTAAATATTTTCTTGTAGATATATTCTCTAGTAATTTTGTATGATATTCCATTTCACATTTACAAAAATTATTTTATTTATTCTCTTTCATTGGATAAAACTTGAACATCAAATACCTAATTGGATATAGATAAAAAATTAACCAATATTTATTAGGCATTTTTTTATAAACTTTTCCAACAGACAAATTAAATATTTTTTTTTCTACCCTTTATATTCCAGTCATTTTTAGCAAAAATAATATCTTCAATTATAGTTTAGATCCATTAAATTGAAGTATTTTTGAGAACTAATGAAAAACTAGAAATGATCATAGAAATCATGCTCACAATCATTTTATTCTAATTCTATTTAAAAATTATTAAAATACCAAAATATCATTAATTCTCTTATTTGAAGTTACCCAAAGAAATTAAATGTCATTAATGAAATAGATCTTACATCCTGGTTAAACATTTTATGGATACTTATTGAAATTGAAATAAGAATTTCATTATAAATGTATACAAAAGATTTGTGAATAAATAGAATTACTTAATCTAATTAAGAATATATTTGAAATCCCATTTTCATTATAATACTTTTTACCATATTATAAAATGACCATAACCACATGATGCCAATACAGTTTCAGAGAAATTAAAATTGAGTGAATTAACTAAATTACTATTTTTAACGTGATAATATTAAAAATCTACTTACCATACTATAATTTTATGATCCAACCCTCCTGATATAAGTTAATCCTCCTATTTATTTAGCATTAAGCAAAACACAATATTATTATGTTATTTGAATGGCTACGAGCACTCCCATACATTTAGGTTACAATAATTAATACTATATTTATTATAAAAATTAGAAAATTTGAAATCTTCATTATTTAAAACTCCAAATTTTAATCTCCTTAAAATCACTTGAAACTTAAATTGATCTATCTTTATTAAAAACTATTGCAGAACACCATCCAATCTATTAATTTGAGTCATCAATTAATTTAAATTCAATCTATTTATCCAT